CCCAAAGCCTAAACCCTAAACTGCAGAAGCTGCGGACATCTCCGGCACCTCGGCCAAACTTTTCTCGAGACTTTAAGTTTGTGCCCTTATAATGTTTGTACTTGGAGGTTCATTGTACTATATAACCTACTTAGTAACTGTAGTTATAACCCAGTTATAAATCCCATAACCACAGTTACCCTAGATATAATTTGGTTATAACTACAGTTACTAAGTAGGTTATAAGTACAATGAACCTCCAAGTAACAGCCTGTTCACTTCAGATATGGGCTATTTCATCCTTGTACACCCTACAATAGTTCAGCGTCATGTTCAATGTCCGTTGGGTTCTGCATGTGATTTTCCTCCTGTTGATACTTACTTATTCTGCAGACGTCCACAGTATTGCTAAATTGACCCTGCATACCCCAACGCATATTTCACCTAAGCCCAAAACACCCAGGCCCTAGGCACCGAACCCCTAAGGTTGAACTCTAAACCCAGAAAAAAACAAACCTGAACCCTAAACCGAATTTCCTGAACCCTAAACCCTGAACCGTAAACCCTAAACCATAATTCCTGAACCCTCAACCCTCCCTAAACCCCAATTCCTGAAACCTAAACCCTACATCCGAATTCCTAAGCCCCAAGCCCTGAACCCTAAACCCTGAACCCTAAACCCTACAACAAATGTTCACCTACCTACCCCAAAGGCTCTTGAACAGTAAAGTCCCAGACTGGGAGCCTTAGGGTTCATACGATTTAGGGTTTGGCGTTGATACTACAAATCCTGTGGTTCACGGTTTCGGGTTTAGGGTTGATACTAAAATGCTGCGGTTTAGGGTTTTGGGTTGGCACCCAAAAATCTTACATTGGTGGGTTGGTAATGGGGACGTTTTGATGGGTTCGTAGGACGCACGTCGACAACAGACCGCATTTGTCTACAATTGTGCCGTTTCGTGATGGTGGCAGCGCACACCTCTCGCAAAACAGCACCGAAGGGACAACTGGTGAAATTCGCACGCGTGCAAAACACTTCAAAACGCAACACATGCGCCCAATTCTGCTTAGTTTGCGCGTTTCGTGCTTTTTCATAGGTGTTGCAACCCTAGGGCCCCACTTGAAAGCCCCCATTACCAACACACTAACTAGATATAAGGTACTTACTGTCATGCAGGTTTCTTAGTCTCCACGCCCAAAGCTTAATGCCGATATATCCGTATACCCCCCTGTAAAGGTATCTTAGCCACCCTATAGTAGACGAATTCTGAGACGCTCGCTTCTTGCGCCGCGATCTCGGTCGCTTCTAGAGCTGCTGCCTTCGCAGGCTTGAATGTTCTTGCAGGAGTTTAGAGTTTAGGGTTCAGGGTTTTCGTTTCGGGCTTGGAACCATGTTGCCTATCAGGGGCCCATAGTAAAGATCTAGGAAACAGGTATGGGCCTACGTAAATTACGGGCGCACGGTTGGGATCTGACAGTTTTAGGCAGGCTTTAGAGTTCGGTCAGCAGCAATGATCCTGGAAGAGCCTCAAAAACGGGGGAACCTAGAGGGTAGTATAGTGGGTGGTAGTGGGGAATCCATGGTAGCCGTCGGATGCCGCTTCAATTATCAGTGCTTCGGGGGTGAATCTGGAATATCACAGCAGGCCAGAGAAGAGAATGTTGCTCTACAAGAAGAACTCCAGTTACCATAACCTCCATTTAGGAATCCCCACATGGGACCCCTGATTGAGGAAACGCCCATATTGGGGACTGTAGCATCCCCACGAAAAGATACTACTCAAATGCTCTGAGTATCTGCGGATGTAGGCTAAAAAGCTTCTCGGGCTTGGGTCCATGAGCCTCCAAGCGGGGTTGAGGGGTGTATGGAAATTATGCAGGGGTCCTCTCTGGGGTGTTGACGGAGGTTTCGTCGCTTTTGCTTTTAAGCTGCATTCTTGCACTGGTTAGGGTTTAGGGTTGTTTGTCCTAGAGTAGAGGGTCTTGGGTCGAGGCTTTAGGGTTGAGGGACATAGGACCCGAAAAGCTGCGCTGTAAAGACTAGCGAAGGTGGTTCCATGTTTTAGGTTGTCCAAATTGTGGCATTTTCTGGCTTCCCATTCTCCCACGGCCCGTATTTGGGGTGTCCAAAAACGGGAATTATATCCTCAATCCTACCAGAACCCCTAAAGTATGTAAAATAATAGCCCTAAACCCTCCTCAGGGGTCTAGGCGTTTAGGTTTTAGGGTTTAGGGTTTAGGGTCAACACCACAAGGTCCCTCAAGAATCACGTCATACCTACGAAAGAATGGAGACTGGCACCCTAAAGAGGAACCCGTACTGAGGAAGTATCAATCAAACGCTAGCAGCCCTTTTACATCGTACCCCTACGGCTACATGGAAAAGCACCCGGCATGACACAGACTCTGAGAGCTATGGTACGCACCACAGTAAAACTTAGGTCACAATGGATCTTGTCCATCAACCGTAAACCCTAAATCCTGACCAGTACATCCTAAACCCTAAACTCTATGATCCCCACACCCTAAACTCAATGCTCCTAAGCCCTAAAACCCAAACCCAAACTTCAAAAATCCTAAGCCCTAAACCCCAAACTCTAAGTCTAAAAATCCCTAAGCCCTAAACCCCAAACTCTTAATCTAAATCCCTAAGCCCTATACCTGCCACCCCCGCTCTGCGCCTCTTTTTTGGCAGCCTCGACCTCCGCTTCAGCCTCCGCCGCTGCCTGACTCCCAACATGGGTTTGAGTTATCACATATTCTAAGGTGAGTAGAGTTTTTTTTGGTGGTTGAACCTAGTAAGATAATATTCCCTATATAAAATACGATACCCCAAAAGGAGGATAGAATCTTACTCTATATTGGGCACCATAGTATCCCCAAATAAAATACTACTCAGGTGAGGAATTACAGAACCCTAAACCCTAAACCCTAAACCCTAAAAGGTGGAGGGTTGGGGTTGGAGTTATGGGCCCCTGGTTAACGTTTCACAGACCCTACAGGCTCAATCAAGGGCGCAAAGTTAGGACCCGGGAAAGAGGCTGGGACCCATATTAGGGGCCCACGGTAAGGACATTAGAGATATAGGGGCTTTCCGAAATTACGCGTCCTGTTTGGTGGGTCTTTATACATAATAAGGAATATACTCTTTTGGGATACATAAACGGTTCATTAAGTTTGGAAAGCTACCATAGAAGGCTTCAAGGAGCCAACGACGGTGGACAGCGGATTAGGGGTTAGGGTTTACCTGGACCACCCAAATACCCATAATAATGGCCTATATACCATCGTTTTAGGGGAAAGGGCAATCAGTATAGGTATTTTGGAGGTCCAGGCAGGGTTTAGGGTTTAGAGATTGCACTTCTGAGATTGGCAAACCTATAGGGGCTCCAAGGACCGAGTGCGAGGTTTTGCAAAATTCACGCATCAGTTATCTTAGCCCACACCATCCTAGGAAGAAGAAGGATCCTGTTACATACATGTCAGGAATCCCATACCCCCAAAAATGTAAAAGGATCCCTAAACCCTAAACCCTGAACCCTAAACCCACAACCCTAAACCCTAAACCCTAAACCCTAATCCCTAACATTGGTCCAGTTGCTGTGATTGGCTAGCATTGGCAGTATCGTATTTGGCAGTATCGTATTTAAGGTCTTATGATGGTAGTCCATGGTTTCAGAAAGTACCAAATACATCATCCTTGTAGACACTAACAGCCATGCAGATTTTGCTTTGGGTGCCTAACACAATCATGTTTTTTGAGTCCCTGGACCCTCAGGGTTAGGGCCCCTGGTGTACCCTAAACCCTGCTCCCTGGCTACAGTAATCAAGGGGCTCGGGGTTCAGCAGTTTTTACCATTCAGATTTAGGTCTGAGGTTCGAGGTTCTGGGCAGAGGTTTATAGGGATTAGGGACCAGGGCTTCTTGGAGGCTCATGCGACCTAGCAACTATTTGTGACTGAGGTGTGTCCTACCATAACCATTGCCGTCAAAACTCCTAAACCCTAAACCCCAAGCCTCAACACCTTGTCTTGCAGGGTCCGCAGTGCAGTTATCTGCACTTACTTTATCCCATAAACCTCCCAAGACCCTGAACCTTGAGTACCTAAGTCCCGTGAACCTTCAAGTCGGGTTGATCTACCAGTCTCGTAAACGCGGTTTAAGCTTTAATGCGGTAAGGGTTTAGGGTCTCCGCAGAGCGGTCCCAAATGAAGGACAGGCACCGCGACATGGCGCCTTTCTTTGTAGTGTTCATGAGCTGGCAGACCGAATGCAAGGAACAGCGTGGCCAGCTGCGTAGCTAGAAGTTTGCTGTCTGGCCTCCACAAGCGGCAGGCCGGCTGCTCTTTTTGCGTGGACGAGGCCGCCGACGAGGGTGGGATCGAAGTCAGGCCAGGCACTTGCAAAGGGTTGCCACCATAGAGTGTACCCTAGGGGTCCAAGGACCCATATAATAAGCTTTTGGCGCCCAAATACCATTACTATTATGGTATTTGGGATCTACACCCCTATTATTTGGGTCCTTGGACGGTTAGGGGTAGGCTGTAGGGTACCTTATGCTAGCGGATGTGCTTTCTAAGCAGTATACCCTCTGTACATCCAAGTAGACCTTTGAAACCTCGGGACCCCAGCAGAAGTTATTGCATGAGAACTTTTGATGAATGAAGGGAATTCTGTTGCCCTAGCCCTCATGACTGTTTTTTCTCTTTTTTTAGGGTTCAGAGTCTGCGGTGGGTTTAGGGTGTAGGGTTTAGGGATCAAGGATGTGTGTTTAAGGTTCAGCAATTCAGCATTGAGGCTTTCGTATTTCGGGCTTAAGGCCGGTAATCATTGGGTACTGCCCCCACCCAGTAACAGTCTATATTAGGGGTCCTATTAAGAGCTAGATATAGCCATATTATAATTATTATCCGACTGTTACTGAGGGGGGGCAGTACCCAAGGTAATCATCTGAAAGAAATCCCACACCTGCCCCATATATAGCCCCCTAAACCCTAAACCCTTAACCCCAATGTCCCCCTTCGAAAGCACCTTTAGACATCTAATGTTTGGGCGCTTGGACCCCCATGGCCGCCCAGGCCCTGAACCCTAAACCCATATCATCAGGGTTTAGGGTTTAGGGTTTCCCGAATCTGTCAAGCCCGAATCACCGCAGCGTTTAAAGTTTAGGGATTATATCCCAAGCCCTAGAACCCAAACCTTAAGTTTGGATTTGAGTGTAGAGATGTTCGCTTCGCAGCTAATCTTTAGGGGTACCTCCCATCCCTACATTCCGCAAAATCCCTGAGTAACCCCGAGCCCTCAACCCCAAACTCTTAAGCACCGAACTCTCAAACTTGAACACTAAAAATCACCAAATCCTAGACCCTAACACCCTCAACCGCGTTTAGCCCTCCACCCTAAACCTTGAACTCAAGAGAGTGGCGCTTTTGTGGTGGTTGAACCAAGCAAAATCTTACTCTATATGTTTTTGGGTAATGTTTGCCCGGTGCCCGTTTCCATTTTCCGTTCCATTCGAGTTCTTTAAATTTGCATCCTAAACCTGAAACCCACAACCCTAATTCCGTACTAACACCAACAAGCTGCAAACTCACAATAAACTTTCCTAAACGATATAAGCATTGAGCCCCAAACCCTAAACCCTAAACTGAACACCAAACTCTGAACCTTCCGGCCTGACCCCTCAAATCCCGAACCTTAAACCGTTATTAGGTACTTGGACCCTTAGGGCCTATTATAGATTTCAAAGAGCACCCTGCCCTAAGACCTTAAAAGCCTAAACCTTGAACTCCTGGACCCTAAAACGCTAAAACCCTGCACCCTAAAACCCCAACACCCCAAAACCTTAAAAGCCTGAACACTCGACACCTAAAACCTTAAAAACCCACACCCTCAAACCCTAAAGAACGCTCCCCCCCCTCCCCCCGTACCCAGACAGGCTCAGCCTGGTTTGCCAGGGATTCTGCTTCGGCCAAAGCAGCATCCTATGTAAGCTACAGTCAACATTTCCTATAGTCAAAAGGGCTTGAGGTTTGGGGTTTAAGGTTCAGGGTTTGGGAGTTTAGGGGTTTAGGGTTTAGGGGTGCTATTAAGGGCTATATATAACCATATTATATAAATATTCTGCAACTGTTACTGAGGGGGGCAGTACTGAACCTAAATCTTTAAACCTCTAACCGCCCGCATGCTTAGAATGTACGCTAAGGCAAACACCTTCGAAGCAATGAGAGCCCCAAACCCTAAACACTACGCTTTTTCGGTGTGAGGTTCAAGGTACTGCAAAAAGGCTGGTGGGTTTCCTAAGGGTTTCGGGTTCAGGGTTGAAAGGGCTTAGGGTTTAAAATGTTCAGGGCTTTAAAGGGTTGAGGATTTAGGATTAAAGGGTTTAAAGGGTTTACGGTTTAGGATTTGAAGGGTTTAAAGGGTTTAGGGTTCAAAATGTTCAGGGTTTAAAGGGTTTAGGGTTTAGCAAAAACAAGGTTAACCTTTTGATCAGCCAAGCCTCGGGCTAAAGAACTCGACAAGACTAAGAGTTACCCGCTCAGTTCCTGAGGAAACGCCCACACGATTAAAGCTTAGACCCTAAGCCCTAAAGCCTAGACCCTAGCGCTTAAGGTTTGGTGGTAGGCAAGTGTGTGAAAATGCGCAGTACCCACAACTCATGTGAGTATTCCTTCAGGCAAGGACTGTTTTGAAACACTGCTTAGGATTTAGGTTTGAAGGTTTAGGATGGGTGCTTCCAGGTGGCACCCCGCCTCCCTGTAGCTTTTTTTGCTTAGGTTTCAGGATTTCCTCCATGAAGTGGATGTGTTCTACTTCACCTCGAGAGGAGTCTAACACCGAACCCTCTATAAAGCCTACCTAAACCCCAAAAGTATGTAAAATAACAGCCCTAAACCCATAATAACGGCCATAAAGGCCATTATTTTACGTACTTTTGCGGTCCAACCCTAAACCCTAAACCCCTACACCCCTAAAACCCTAAACCCATAAAGGGCATTATTTTACATACTTTTGGGGTCCAGGTAAAGCTAGCCCGCCTCGTCGATGCCCACTGGCGCTGCCATTGCAGTCTCCTGCAACGGCATCTAGGTTTAGGGGTTTAGGGTTTAGGGGTTTAGGGTTTAGGGGTTTAGGGTTTAGGGTTTAGGGTTTAGGGTGGTCTCGAGATTATGGGCCCCCACCTGCATACTGCCTATACCAATGTTGCCATGATTTTGAACACGGATGGGTGGTAGCCTCAACCACAAGAAGCCCGATAACTAGCACAGGGCTTTTGCAGAATTCTTGTTTCGGTGTGGCGGGGCTGCCATATAACTCGTACTTCATTTGACAAGCCAACAAGCGGCACTGATAGAGGTAGAACGTATAAGGCAAACCCTAAACCCTAATCACGAAACCCGAACCCTAAACTCGAAGAGAACGGCAAATCCTGCAGGAATGCCCCTATTTACACTCTCAACCCAATGAGCGCTGAACCCTAAACCCTCTAAGCCCTGCCCTCAAGTCTGAAGCCAATGACCCACAAACCTTGAACTCTGTCAGCCGTAAACCCTCCAAATTCCATAAGCCCTATAAACCCTCTAAACACTGTAAGCCCTGAACCCTAAACACCAAACTTCTAAGCCCTAAATCCTAAACCCTCGAAACTCTCTAAGCCCTAAGCCCTGAACTCTAAACCCCAAACCCCCTAAACCCTCTAAACCCTAAGCCCTCCTCTAACCCTATCTATATACATATATATATATATGGTAGTCTCCCTAAATCAGGGAACCCCAATATAGACCCCGAAATACTATAATCCTTATTATGGGGACCCCCAAAACGGTACCCCTAATTTTGGGAAACCCCCAACCCTAAACCCTAAACCCTAAATAGTAGTTTCCAATATCTTTTCCATTATCCCAATATATCCCCAATATATAACCCCAATATAACCCCAATATATAACCCCCCAAAGTAGGTAAAGCAATAATCCTAAACCCATAATAACAGCCATCAAGGCCATTATTTTACATACTTTTGGGGTCCAACCCTTAACCCTAAACCCTAAACCCTAAAACCCTAAACCCTAAAACCCTAAACCCTAAACCCTATCTATATATATATATAAGCTGCAAACAAGCCTAAAACATCCACCTGCCGGCCTCCCAAGGAGCTTCTGGATCCAGGGCGGGGTCCGCGAAAGGATCCTGTCCAAGAGCAGTAGATAAGGGGGATATATAGGGATATATGACTATATAAGGGTCCAAGGACCCAAACAGTAGGGTTTTAGGGCCCAAATACTATGATATTTATGGTATTTGGGCCTTAAAACCCCATTATTTGGGTCCTTGGACCCTTAGGGTAAGGGATTTAGGGTTTCGGGTGTGGGGTTTAGGGTGTAGGGTTTTGCGGTTTTGGGATTTGGGGATTTAGGGTTTTGGGGTTTAGGGTTTTACGGTTTTGGGATTTAGGGTTTCGGGTTTGGGGTTTTACGGGTTCAAAGAGTCCCTGCACGCCCAACCCATATGCAAACCATGGCGACCCTCTCAGAAGAAAATCTCAAAGAGCTACATGGTCGCGTCTAAGTATCACCCAAATAAAAACCTGACACCCCCAAACTTTCAACATCCTAAGCCTTGAGCCCCTGGACCTTAAACTCGGGTCATTGTCGGATATGGCTTGAGATGCTGACTACTCTGAAACCAAAAACTGAAGGTCAAATCTGGTGTTTCGAGGAAAATTCTCCATGAGGATCCAGAAGCCCTCAACCCGAGACGCCACACCCCTGACTCGTACCTCAAGGACATTCGCGGGCGGGCGGTCATCAGGCGGGTACCCTTCAGGACTCTCCTGACAAACTCCCCTACACCCTAGATAAGTAGTACTTTCCGTTCTCTTTTCCAGTATCCCTATATAACCCCACTATACTATATTGTAGTTTCCCTTTTTTCCATAATCCCTGTATAACCCCTATATAACCCTCAAGCCCACCGCATGTTTTTGATTAACCCCAAGGAGTTCGACGCCTGGGCCGCGGCATCGGTTTCCGGCGGCATCTCAGTCTCCTGACCATCCTGTAGCGTTTAGGGTTCAGGGTCCAGAATTCAGGGTTTAGGGTTAAGGGCTTGGGGGTTTCAATGCTCCAAGCTCGCATCGATCTTATGGCTCAGGGTCTAGCGTGTTGGATGCAGGATGTGAACCCTTAACCCTGAAGCCCGCACCTGAAAATTCAGGGTTTAGTGATCTAGGAATTGGGGACTTCGGGTGCAGGGCAAGGGTCTTACAAGCGTCACGTCCCTCCCAACGGCTTCAAGGGGGCGGGCCGCAGAAGAAGCCAAAAAAGCTGGAAAATCAGCGCCACCTGAATCCCCAAAGTAGGTAAAATAATAGCCCAAATCATCGAAATATAGCCGAAAAGGCCATTGTTCTACATACTTTGGGGGTTCAGCAGGCACTCCCAAAATCTCGGAAGATGGGAACCACCCTAAGGCTCCTAGGACTATTTTGTTTAGGGTTTAGGGTTCAGGGTTTAGGGTTTAGGGGTTTAGGGATTTAGGGATTTAGGGTTTAGGGTTTAGGGTTTATTGGGTTTAGGGATTACCCTGAGGCTCCTAGGACTATGTTGGGCTTTCAGGGGGAAGGTTTGGGCCTTGGGTGCTAAGGTTTGGGATCCCATTATGAGGGTCCAAGAGCCTTAGGGCAGAGCACAGACCCCTAACTGTTTCTCCCTTGCAGCACGTCGATTTCGGGTTTAGGGTTTGGGGTCTTACTGGCCATGAGCTGCGCTAGATTCCTTTTTCTGTTAGGATCCCCCTTTCAGGAACTGCATTCCCAAGACTTCAAGAGGCATCTGGCAAAGGTCTGAATAAAAAGTCCCGTAACTTTCGAAGTCGCCTACCCTACACGCTTGAGATCTATTTGGGATACCCTTTACCCAAATTATCTATGGTATCTAGAACCCTAATTCTGCAGGCCATTCAGTAGCGTAGAGCTCACTTACTCCTTGTAATGTCTGCAATTCGGCCATGGACATTCACAGCTTTCACTCCAATTACGGCGGGCGGGGAGGGCAACCCACAGGCAGTTTGACAAAGATCTTAGACATTAAGCTGCAAACCCTATGACCTCAACCCCCAAGAAGCCTAAACCCTAAACCCTGAACCCTAAACCGAATTGTGGACTGAAGCCTTATAGCTTGTAGGAGCGGTACGGGAGGCACATGGGACACCCACCTCGAAACCAGAGTCTAAACCCCAAACTCCTAAACCTGTCCCAGAGGGTCCACTCAAACAACTAGTAGGGAATTAATTAGGCCCCCCAAATACCATACTATCAAAGGAATTCTGGGTCCCCATTCCCTAATGGTTGTATATGTGGACGCTCTGGGTGTGCTACCTGTACTGGGTTTCGAATATGAATCCGTAGTAATCCAGTCGCCCATATAGCGAATTCATGAGGATGTTTGTCACCATAGAAATCTTGTTTGGGGTACCCTACATGTGAGGACCAGACAGCCAAAAATATAGAGACGTTCGAGCTGCAAGCCGAAGCAATCCCCTCCCCCGAATATTGAAACTCCCCACTCCCCCCCCCCCAAAAAAAATGATCCAATTAGATGAGAATGTACAACAATCGGAATCCCTAAGCTATATTATATACCCTAACCCGAAACCTTAAAACTGTTGGGTTTAGGATTCCGGGTTAGGGACTAAAGTTCTGCGCTTAGGATGTAAGGTGTTTTTCTTCTTTAGTGAATGATTTAAAGATAACTCGTTCTTGCCCTTGTGACGGATCCTCTGGCAGGTTCTTCAGCCTAGCTTCGCAACTTCAAAAAATTCAGGCAAGAAATCCTGAACAATCAAGCTCAAAGAAAACACCACTTCAGACTCGCAACATTAAGGGCTTAGGGTTTCGGGGTCATGTTCCAAGACCCCATGCGCAGGTCTTCCTATTCCCCCCAACCCTAAACCCTACATCCTAAGCCCTGAACCCTAGCCCCAAAATCTTGGCAGAGCCTAACCCCAAACCTTAAATCCAACCTCAATATCTAGGGCTTAGGGTTTATTAGGGTTGCTTAAGGTTTAAAGTTTATGGTTTAAGGTGAACCTAAATCCAAACCCTGAGGATGAACAAGAGCCTGCTCAGAGGCTCCATTGGATTTCTCCTTCTTTTCTGCACTCCTGTCCTCCAACTCCTGGCCAGGAAGCAAAAACTTGGGTCTAGGGTTTAGGGTGTGGGGTTTAGTGTTTAGGGTTTGGAGTTTAGGCGTCGAGGTTTAGGGTTTAGGGTTTAGGGCTTCGGCATTCAAGATTTAGGCATGGGACTTGGGGTATTGGGTTTGGGGTGTGAGGAAGCTTGTGGAACCTTCCTTCTCGAGGGTTTCTCCGTTATCTCCATTGGATCTGTTTAATGTGCAGAAAGTCTAAATAGGGTCTACGGGTCCTACAACTCGAAACCCTCAACCGTATGACTTTCGAGTTAGCGTCGTTAGCGTCGTATGATCGACGGCTAGGGTGACCTGAACTCCAAGCTTTGCTCTGGCATCTAATGTCTGAGTCGCGGGTGGTTCTAATAAGCATCCAAGCAGCTACAATATGAATGGTTCTTGGGAATTAAAAACCTGATAAGGCCCTCGTTCCAAAACCTAGACCTTACATCTTAAGTCCGACTTATCTCTACAACGCCCGACATCCCCCGCTTAACGGACCGCTGGAGTTTGCCCCAGAACTTCCACTGCGGGCATATGGTTTCTGATGCGGACCAGGATTCCCAGGATGGGCTGGAAATATGAGGAAAGCAACATTGAACCTTCATCCGGCATTTCAATCACCTTCGAAAATCAGTTTGGCTTGTTCAACACAAATCTTCTACACGTTCCAACAACACGTTTGCACAGTTTGCATGTTTCGACATTCTGTCAACTCACGTATGAACTAGACGGAGATGCGGCGCCATTCGTGAAAGCAATGCCGTCTGCCCAAACAACGGGCAACAACCTACAGCCCAGTCCCAAATTCCTACGAAATTGGGACCTCAACTTCTTGACTCTGGAAGAAAGCCCAAAAGGCATCCGACAACTGTCCAGCGCTCCCCGCTTTTGCAAAAACGAAAATCCCTACGCTAAGGTTTAAGGTTTCGGGTCCAAGTTCAGAATTTCGTACCAAAACCCTGAACCAAAGCATGTGCTACCACAATGCGAGACTCCAAACGTCATGCCCAGCAAGCCGTATCCGTTAAACTTTTGCACACAAAAACCGAAGCTCTCCGACTCAAACACTGAACTCAAAACCCAAGGAAGAACCAAAAACCCACCCCCAAAACCCACCAAAACCCCCAAACCCACAGAAAGCCCCTAAGCACCGTCGGAGCCTGTTCGGAGTGGCCATTGGACTTAGCCTGCTTCTGTGCGTTCCACTCATCCCACTCCTGGCCCCAGGAGCAGTTTAGAGGTCCTTGGTATATAAGGCTTAGGTTCATTCAAAGGGCGTGCAAGGTTTAGGCTTCAGATCCCTGTGCGAGGTTGGTGGGTTCAGGCTTTAGGTCCCGTAGAAGGGGTTGTAAGCCGCAGGATTTCAGTTTTAAGGTCAAAAGGTTTTGGGGCTTGCCGCTGGGGAGACCCATGGTATGTAAAATCCTGTCCCTCGTAATTAATATAACCTCCACTCAAGAAGGGCTTTCCTAAGGATATATAAAGAGATTGGAAAGGACATGGAAGCTACCGTGTTGTTTGGGGTTTAAGGCTTTAGATTTAGGGCTTGTTGAACGACCCCACCCCACCCAAATACAAATGCCCCCCTTTGCACACATTGGTTCTACAGATGCCCCCTTTTGCATATATTGGTTCCACATTGTGAGGAGGGAGCTTTTGAAAGGGGAATAGGGTGCTCGGTTGCGCAGTTTATGGCTTATTGCAATGGGGAGTCAGATGGAAAATCAGACGGAAGATGGATTGGCAACTGGTATAGGCTTCGAAGAAGTTCACCCTTCTTTGCCATGATGTGCTGTAGCCTCGGTGCTAGTTAGTAGTGTCTTGCATTACACAACTCTTCTTACACCTTGTGTTCGGGCCCGAGGCCCAAGGAGGATCAACAGCATTGCTCAACAATAGGTGCCAAGTAGCAACTGCTAACAAGAGAGGCAGGACACCACAACTTTCGAGTTGCACCGAATCTAAAATCTGGGCCCAATTGCGCCATGGGTTCTTTCCTAAGAAGACGTAACCTGACCAACCTACAGATCTTTAGGTTGTGAACCCAACCGCACCTAGCGATGAGATTCCAGGGCCACAAACACATGATGGTGAAGGTGTAGACGGACACCAAGACGTGGTTCCAGCTATGTCAACAGGCCAGAGGGGACCCAAGGACCAGCGAACACAACTTTGGCAAATGGTGTTCAGCCGCGCGAAAGGGCTGGTTCTAATCAGAATTATGCCGGAAATGCTGGGTTAGCAGCCTCAAGACACGCCCATGTTCCGATTCAGCGCGCTGGATAAGGTTTGGTACCCATCGGGATAGGAGGAGATCGTGCCCAACAAGCACCTTTACCCTTGCAAAAGAATTGAGTCACTCGTTTGGCGCAGGGAATCAGGATCTGTCAGCAGGGCTGGTTCCAGGAATGCACCAGTTTCAGGACGCTCTGTCTCAGAAGAAGACTCAGCAAGCCACCGCTAGTTCGGATGAACCTGAAACAGTCAAGCCAAGAGTTTCAAGCCTTCCTGAACTCAAAGCCATTGATCCAGAGTCCTCCCTCAGTAACTTTCAGGAACCTACACAAGGTTTGCTACATCTGGCAAGCCGGAGGATGTGTGATTCAGCAACAGGTGTCACCTAGTGCCCCAGATGGTGAGTTGGAATTGACCAAGCCGCAAGCCCCTGCTAGGCGTACAGGCCCCTGGCGGCAGAAGAGCTCAGGGCTTCCCAGCGCTGGGAGACCCACGCGGAAACCCTCGTCTGCTACCGCCTGACCCACGGTACACGTGAAGAGCTTGGCTAGCAGGCGTCACTTCAAGGATCAGGGGTTCTGGAGGAAGGTTTTGAAAGGGCAGCGTCGCGAG